ATGGGTGTCATATTATATTAGCAGATTAGAGATTATTATATTCAATAGTGACAACAATTTCTTGTTCTCCAAAGTGACCGTAACCTTTGTCCATAAAAGTGTTGCACTAACGGTTGTGGCCATACTGCTGCAATATCCTCAGACATATTGTTGTGAAGTAACGTCAGCCCCAAAATTGGAGTTCTCTCTGAAAAGTTATCTATTGGCTCATGTTGAATGTTTTCGTTCCATAAAGGACATACTTTATTCCTAACTAGTGAAAACGAGTTGAAGTCATCTCCCAACATCTGTACAGAAGCGATATGCTGTTATTGAATGTCCTTTAAGAAAGTAGAAAGCTCAGTGTCTTGAGAGGGACAAAGAAATCTGAATCAGAAAAATGTGTGTGAGGAGTGTGTGAGAATTTGACTGAAAAACAGAATAAAAGAGTGTCTATTATTATTATTATTATTATTATTATTATTATTATAATAGCCATTACTCAGCTGGAAGCTTTGTCATTATGTATTATATTTCACTATAAGAAATGACGACATTTTAAAAGTGTTGCTTATTCATTGATGTTCTGTTTTTTCATTCAAATGTGACAAAACATTCAAAACATCTTGTTATATTCAGCGTTTGCTCTAAAAATCTTCATCCAAAACTTTTCCTCTCAGTCCCTTTGGTCGCCCTTGCACCACATGTAGGTCTCACGTACATGCTGCTATATTGTTTTTGTAGGAAACCTTTGATGTTACCGTATAATTTTTAAAAAAGCAACATACCATCATCTTTTCAAACAGAGCCAGGATCTCTTTTTCTGAGGTGATCTTTGATGAAAGCTCCTCCAACTGATGCGAGGTGGCCGATGAAGAGGTGGACCAGTCATTGGCGTTGTGTTTTGAGTGCGATAAGGGCGGCCGCTCCTTCTTACTGCCCGGGATCCGGATGCTGGCGAATCGGTCCAGCTGGTACAGACGACAGAGAAAACCACAGTTGAAAAAAGCGGGATATTCAGTACCAAGTTGAACTACATTAAATATCATTAGCACATTTTAAAAGGTTAATACTGAGAGCAGACAAAACAATCAGTTCATTAATGAGTTAGAAAAGCAACGCCATTAGTGTGAACAAAGCACATACGGTACACCCGTTTCACACGTTGAGTAAAGCACGATCTAGATGACACGTAGAGTTCACAGAGACATTAGTAAGTGAGAGAAGTGTGTGCTCAGTGATTGGAATGACTCCAATGAAGATCCAGTTCCATTGCCACTCAAAATAAGTGGATTAGATGACTTTTAGTAGAGTGATGTTAGAGACGGACGAGCGCACCAGTTTCTCAGATCTTACCACGTCATCTGTGATGTTCCTAAATGGTAAGTGCTACAGGTGGAGGTGAGGTGGGGGGGACAGAAAAAAAAATAATAAATCAGGACACATGAAGTAGAGTCTTGTTTCAACCCTGATATTATTTATGAATAGATATCTTTGATTGCTAACCTAGAGGAAGGTTTTGATTCTTTATATACTGTATTGCAAATGTGTGGCGTTTGTTTCTTGCAGCCTTTAGGAGAGAACAACGGTGAAATGTTGCGGTTGTTTAGCCTCTCCCTTGTTACGCTCATCTGGAAATCCAGAGAGAGAGAGAGAGAGAGAGAGAGAGAGAGAGAGAGAGAGAGAGAG